CTACTACTACTACTACTACTACTACTACTACTACTACTACTACTACTACTGCTGCTGCTGCTGCTGCTGCTGTTATAGCTGTAGTTGGCTGTGATTGCTGGCCGATCCTGCTGTATACACGTCACCTATTGTCCGACAGCTTACGTAACCAGCGGGTCGGGCAGACGAGGACACGGTCCGTCCGCTCCCGCCCTTCCATAACATCCCACCTCTCCCACCACTACACCTCTCCCATCTCTCCCACCACTACACCCTCCCACCACTACACCCTCCCACCACTACACCCCTCCCACCACTACACCCCTCCCACCACTACACCCCTCCCACCACTACACCCCTCCAACCACTANTACACCCTCCGACCTACTAACCCCCCCACCACTACACCCTCCCACCACCTACACCCTCCCACCACCTACACCCTCCCACCACTACACCTCTCCCCATCTCTCCCACCACTACACCCTCCCACCACTACACCCTCCCACCACTACACCCCTACATCCCACCTCTCCCCCCACTACACCCCTCTCACCACTACACCCATCCCACCACTACACTCCCCCCATCCCACCTCTACCACCGCTACACCTCTCCCAGCCCTCCCACCACTACACCTCTCCCCGCCTTCCCGCCCACTCCCGCCCTTCCTGTCACTACACCCCACTCCTCCCGCCCCTACCACCACTACACCTCACCCCTCACACTTAATTCACACCGACATCTCCAGGGCCCAGCTGGCGTCGTCATGGCGACGGTAAAGCAACCATAACATGCCGCAAATAGCAGACGATGTTCAGAACATAGTTTGAGACAGTGGTGAGACAGTGGTGAAGCAGTGGTGAGACAGTGGTGAGACAGTGGTCAGACAGTGGTCAGACAGTGGTGAGACAGTGGTGAGACAGTGGTCAGACAGTCCTGGTGGCCTGCCTGCCTGCCTGACCGCCTGTCTTCCTACCTGCCTACCTCCCTGCCTACCTACCTGTCTGTCCCCAATACGTAATTGAAATCTCACTCCCATGACGATGGCCCACAAAGAGCTTTCTTTTTCTTCGTGTCGACGGCCGTAAGATTGCGTGAGAAAAAAACCGAGCGCACGCGTGTGTCCGCAGAGTAACAAAGAGTTACGTCTGCAAGGCTCGGCCACGCTTGCCCGCCTTGCTGGGTCTATGACATCTCAAGGTAACGGACAACTTTTATTATTACGCAACGCCAAAGAATGCAGGAGAAATCCTTCGGCGGCGCATGCGCGCGAGCGTCTTTGTTCGCACCGCAAACCGCGGCCATGTAGAAACGTGACAGGGTTCCCCCTCTCTCACGTAACCCCGGGTAACGGTGTGCCGCTCCCATATAGATGGCGCTAGCATCGTCGCGAGGTCGATGTCCCCGTAACGATGGCATGAGGTTTTCCTTCTAATAAATTATCCATATTTATCTCTCTGTCTCTCTCTCTCTCTCTCTCTCTCTATCATATATATACTATTTATATATATCTTGCTCTCTCCCCTCTCTCTCTTTCTCTCTCTCTCTCTCTATACTTATATATATATATTATATAGTTAATATATATATATTTCTATAATATATATATATAGAGAGTAGAGACGAGAATGAAGAGAGGAGAGTAGCAGAGAGAGTTGACGAGAGAGATCCACTAGCACAAAGGTTGGTCAAGAGGGGTTCGTGAACTGGCCTTTGGTGCAGAATCGCGGCGCCGTGCCAGCGGTGTTCTGTGTGAGTTCTTAGGGTGGTTGACGCTGGACGCCGATTGACGTAACAATAGATACCCAACCGAACTTTCGACTGGCTGAAGGAGGGGAAAGGGATAGAGAGGAGGGGGAGAGACGATAGATAGATAGAGAGAGAGACAGCGAAAAGCGAGAGAGAGGATCGAGAGAGAGAGATAGAGAGAGATGAGAGAGAGAAGAGAGAGAGATCTTAGACTTAGAGAAGATGAGAGAGAGAGAGAGAGAGATGAGAGAGCCATTTAGAGAGAGCGGAGAGAGAGAGAGAGAGGAGAGAGAGAGAGAGAGACGAGAGAGACGAGAGAGAGAGAACGACGAGCGTGGACGTGGGAGGTTGTGGGTTATGGTGTTTGTCAAGTGAGTTACATGGAATCACCCGCGAATGCGTGGCTCACCGCCTTCTATGCACACACACACACGCGCCACACACACACACACCACCACACACACACACGACACACACAACAACACACACACACACACACACACACACACACACACACACACACACACACACACACACACACACACGCACGTATATACACACACACGCACGCACGTATATACACGCGCACGCACGCACGTATATACACACACACGCACGCACGTATATACACGCGCAAGCACGCACACACGCACGCACGCTCTAGCTTGTGACACTCTGGACTCTCAATGCTTCAAATATCGCAGTTCAAATTGTGAATCCGTTTTCGTTTAAGATAAAGTAAACTTTTAATATTTTCGCTCTACGAATTAATAATAACGTGATAGTAAATACGTAATTAGCTAATCAATTTATCAATTAACGTGATAGTAAATACGTAATTAGCTAATCAATTTATCAATTAATTGCTTCGTAGAGCCTTGGAGGCGCACCCGACGATCCATGACGAACTACCGCACCGCATCCTGACCGGATCTGTGCAGGTGCGACCGGATGTCCGGCGGTTCACGCCGACAGGTGTCGTATTTGAAGGCGGACTGCACGAGGAGGTTGACGTAGTCATCATGGCCACCGGTAGGTGGCGCGCATGCGGTCGGCACGGCGGTTGCTAACTGTGATTTAGACAGAATTACAGGCAAGGGGAGAGATAGCGAGGGAGAGAGAGAGAGAGAAGAAAGAGAGAGAAAGAGAGAGAAGAGAGAGAGAGGAGAGAAGAAGAGAGAGAGAAGAGAGAGAGAGAGAAGAGAGAGAGAAAGAAGAGAGAGAGAGAGAG